GTCTGGCCCAGGTCACCATTCAGATACATTTGCAAAATATGGCCTGGGCCTGGGCGCCTTCAACCAACTGGCGCAGCGCAACTGTCTGAATTTCACCAGTTGCGGGGTACCCTGAAAATCGAGGCCCTAAGGGCCTGTCGCGCCTGCCTTCACTTAGGGCAGCTGACATACTGCAAAAAGGGCCCCGAGGGGGCTGAGCGGGCGTAGCCTTGCAGCCGCAAGTATGATAGAAATAGAACCTGGAAACAGAACACCTCAAGGGATAGTATACTGAATGTCCCTGAAAGAGGAGCTTTGCAAGCAACTAGACGAACTCTTGGAAAAAGGATGGATAAAGCCCAGTTCATCTCCTTTCGGCGCACCTCTTTTATTCGTCCCAAAGAAAGAGGGGAGAGTTACGAATGCGCCTAGACTACAAGGGCTTTGAACGCCATAACTATAAAGAATGCAAAACTGCTGCCCCGTATAGATGATCTTCTAGATCTGGTGCAGGGTTGCAAGTACTTCTCAGATAGATCTGAAGTCAGGCTATCATCAAATAGAAGTGCATCCTGATGATCAGCACAAGACGACGTTCCAAACAACATATGGGCATTACCAGTTCATAATGATCCCCTGTGGACTTACTAACGCACCAACCACATTTGTTTAGGCCGCGGCTAGATAGATTCGTAGTAGTCTACTTAGATGATATCTTAGTATTCAGCAAAACCCCTAGAGGAACATGAGGGCCATCTGAGGCAGATCTTGGAGAAGCTACGGGAAGCTAACCTCAAGATCAATGAACAGAAGTGTGAATGGGCTAAGACCGAAGTCCTTTATTGAGGTCACGTGTTGGACGAAGACGGTATCCAACCAGAGGATAGTAAGATGGTGTCTATTCAAAGACCGTCCAACTCCTCGTATCCTGACAGATTTGCGATCGTTCTTAGGATTGACTAATTATTATAGGAAGTTTATCAGAAACTTCTCCACTATCCCTGGTCCCCTTCGCAGACTGCTAAAGAAAGAAGTGATCTCGAAGTGGAACCAAGACTATACCTCGACCTTGAAGAAGTTGAGGAAGGCCCTGATAGAGTGCCCTGACCTCAAAGTCGTTGATCCGTCACTGCCATTTGTCGTCACTACAAACGCTACTCAGTATGGCATATAGGCGCCGTCCTACAGCAAGATGACGACAATGGCTACAGGCCCGTAGCGGCGTAGAGTTCATGTCAGCCAGGCTGCCTTAAGAAAAAGTGGCAGTATCGACAAACGAAAGGGAACTCTACACTCTCAAGCAGCAGGCCCTAGACCACTGGAGGCATTACCTGCTTCGGAGGCACTTCAAAGTGTACTCAGACCACGAGACTTTAAGGTGGTTGAAAACACAGGCAAAAATGATGCCTAAGCTAACTAGATGGGCTGCTAAAATAGATCAGTTTGACTTGAGCTAAACCCCGTTAAATGCCCTGAGTAGGAGGGCGGATTACTTCGGCGCGATAGTACACTATCTCGACATAGGGGCGGATCTGCGACAAAAAATAAAAAATGCATATGCTCAGGATCCGATTTACAACAAACTGTTGAGAGGAGTAAAAGAAACCCCTGATAGCGAGCCGCACTATCAAACCACGAATGGGCTACTGTTTGGGAAGACCAATGTCGTTGACCGACTGTGCGCTCCCAATAACCAGGACACCCGTAATTTGATCGTAGGGGAGTCCCATGATACAGAAGGACACTTTGGTTGGCAAAACACTTTAGCCTATACCTTATGATGTTGTACACATGGCCCGACATGAAGGCGGACTGCATAAAGTACGTACGCAGCCGTAAAGTCCGCTAGCGCAATAAGGCAACGACTAAAACACCACTAGGCCTTCTCAGGACCTGGAGAGTCAATTTCTGTCGACTTTATGGATTTCAGGGTCAGAAGTAGGCACAACAAAAGTCAAGTCATGGTCATAGTAAATCAATTCGGTAAAGTATGCAGTCTTTGTACCTTTGCCTTCAGAGGCACGTACGGATGTTACTAAATCCGTGATAGAGAAGTTATTTGATTTCTCGGTAAGCGAGCACAGTATACCGCTGCACAGGGGAAAAGTGTGACCTGCTGGTGTTTCTAATTTTTTTTTTTTCCCAATCCGGACCAGTCCGGACATAATGATCCGGGAGTGAGTGTGTCCGTCAGGGTGGCAACTTGATTGGGCAGATTCTCTTTTTGGGAGGTCTCCTCCGATACCAAACTGTCACATGCCAAATGACGCAGACCAGAACCAAGAACCGACCTCTCAAAGATGGGGCAATGATAGCACAGCCGAAGACTGAAATATCAGCAATCAGACCCAATGAATGTCGTGACACAGACTGAACATCAACATCATCATCGTCACGCAGTGTGAGCGGCCTGGCGCCGAACACACGGACGAAGGGCACCAGGCACAAGATCGTACACAAATGAGGAGGGAGGAGAGACAAAGGAGTACAATATGGGGAATGTCGTCAACCCAAAATGTCGTCGATATCAATCCCAAAATCGACCGCCCACAATGTCTCTGTCCAAATGTCAAGTCTGAATCCGAATGTCGCCAAATACCCATGTCGCAAATCTCTCTCTCTCTCTCTCTCTCTCTCTCTCTCTCTCTCTCTCTCTCTCTCTCTCTCTCTCTCTCTCTCTCTCTCTCTCTCTCTCTCTTCGAAGAAGAAGAAGACCAAGAGCATCAGCGGCCCTACCGATCTGCGGTCAGCGGTCCTACCGATCTGCTACGAAACAGTCCTGGCGCCTAAACTCAAACGGCGCCCAAACGGAAAACAGGGCCTCGCACCAACACAACTCGCGCCAGCGCCTGACTCGTAACCTGGCCTAGCTGGGCCCCTCCGCAACGGTACCGGTTCTAAACTGGACTGGTATCAGACCTACCTGGTCTATCAACCTATGGGCCCTCGGACGGGCCGAAACGACACTAGTGCCTAACAGACCCCTAACCCTATAGAACCCTACTCCTACCTCGTTGGGCCCGGCAGGGCCCGTGCGGAAGAGAGAACGCCACACGCATACTGTGCAGCACACACCACACCACACGGTGCACTGTGCAGGTGCACCGCAAATATAGCCAGGACTAACTACCCAGAAACATACAATTACCATGTCCGCACACCTCTTGAGTGCACATCTCTCAAAATGCGGAAGGTAATTAGAATGGGCGTTCATAATGTAAACAAGCCCCAGGAAAATATGTGCCAAAACCGGTTCAGTAATCCACAGCTGCTGTATTTTTCCTCAAGTGAAAGGGGATGAGGTGGAAGAAGTAGAGGAGGAGGCTCACATCCTCCTCTCCTACCCCAACAGACACATGACACACAGAAAGAGAGGTGCGGGTCCACATGCCCACAGGCATGTGTGCCGCTGCACTGAAACAATTGAACCAATTGAAGGACTGTATTGCTCACCCTATACTTTGCATTCTCCAGCGTCTTTCTTTGTCCATGTAAATCTTGAAGAATGGACACACCCAATTCCTCTGCCTCCAGCAGTTGTCTCTTCCCATCTCTTATCCTGTCACTTGATTGAGTCAGCTTCTCCGTCGCTTGCAGCAACCTTGTTCTCTGATCATTTGAGGTCTGCAAAGGGACAACCACACACACATACACACACATACACACACACACACACACACACACACACACACACACACAACTGAGAAATAGGTAAAAAATCGGTGGGGCTGAGGTTTTCCCGGACCACCAACAAGTCCTAAGAATAACATCCAGCCAGCCAGGCAGCCAGGCAGACATTCACCATAGGTGAGCTTTTGATAGTCTAGCACAACTATAAACATGCTGGACTCGTACGAATTCACCATGGAGGACCTCGAAATTAGGCCGGCTGGAATGAAAGGATTCAAGCTGCAAACACCCCAATCCCGGTCCCAAAGTCCCAAAGCATCCCAGTCCCAAGCTGTCCCGGTTGGATAGGCCATAGGGTCCGTCGGCTGAAGTGTCGTAGGCAAGTAGGTGTCGGTACCGAAAAGCCGTAGGTCGGTAGAAGTCTGTCCAGTACCCGACAAGAAAAGTCCAAAGAAGTCCAGTCCAGTCCAACAGTCCCAAGTCCAATTTTGCAGTATGTCCCAGGAAAGTCCGGAAGGTACCAGACCGACAAAATGGTTGCAGCAGACAAAAGCCAAACCGCTACCAGTCTGAAGCAGGCCAAGCCGAGTCAAGTCCTATTTTAAGCTGCTACAGTGCAGAGCCAAGTCAACTTGTTCATTTTGTGAGATGCGAAAGCGCTGCTGCTGCTTGTTCGTTAATGCAACTTGGGCACTTCGCGCCTGGGAAGAAGTCAGCGCTAGTAGCTAGGTTAGAGGTAGAGTAGGAGGAGAAAGGCTGCAGCCGCCAAGGTGGAAGTTTACCTAACTGGGTGTATCCAAGGTGACGATCTAGGACCAGAGAAGAGAGAGGGGGATAGACTGAGGCAGAGCGAGCCAGGTCAAAGAGGGAAGCGAGACGCGCACGCACGAGAGAGAGAGAGAGAGAGAGAGAGAGAGAGAGAGAGAGAGAGAGAGAGAGAGAGAGAGAGAGAGAGAGAGAGAGAGAGAGAGANGAGAGAGAGAGAGAGAGAGAGAGAGAGAGAGAGAGAGAGAGAGAGAGAGAGAGAGAGAGAGAGAAGCCATAGCCGTCATCCAGTGAGATCCATTGTGTGTGTGTGCCGCATAGCCGTTGGAGACCAACACTTCTAGTATATTTATAATAATTTTGGAGACGGCATCTTCATGTGTTGATTGTATCATGGTTCGGCTTCTCACACGTGACCTCTCATGTGAAGGTTCATTGAAGTATGCGAGGTGGAACTTGAGGAGCACTTGAATGATTTAAAAAAAGAGATGAAATATGAAATAGATCATGCACGATAGACAGGAGTTAGGGGGGGGGGCAGAACACGAATAGGATTCAAAGGATAGAAAACCACAATTCTCATTGGGAAAGGTCCAGCTCACTACAATAGGATAAACGGAAATCAAAGAATTATTTAGTATTTACATATCCATTATCTATTGTCTTAGGCCAGAAAAAACATACGTACGTTCTATTCAGTTTACGTCTGATAAACGGGTTCTCATAAATCTCTGGTTTTTCCCGATGTGAGGAATGTGTCCTCAAGGGCCCTTAGACAACATGCATATGTTCCGACCGTGGCCCCCAGCAAGCCTCGTGCCTGCCCTAAGTGAAGGCCGGCCTGAATATTCACGAGAGGCCCCTATCTCAAAATTTTCCAAGGCGGGTCTCAGACAGTTGCTGCACGACAGTTGGTTGAAGTGCAACCTGAGCCTTGCCCTGGGCTCTTCCAGAGGAAGGAACTGCGCCAGGCAATTGAGCCCAGGGCCCTCGTGGTTGAGCCCAGGGCACATGCATTGAGAGGCCGACACATCACAAAGCGGCCACGGGCTGTCGTCGTATCTATCCCGTGGCCCAGTGCAAATGCAGCAAACATTCAGAGCCTGGAAAGTTCTGGGTGTGACCAACTAAGAAGGGCCCAGGCCCGTAACTGTCAAAGTTGGCCTGGGCCCAGACACTGGGGCCCGACCGGATGCTAATGGAAACTTCCTCGGACAGGCCCACACAGTCCAGCAGCAGCAACCTCTACCATATAGGGAGGAGGCTGGCCAGAGCTGGGCATTCTGACTTAGGCAGGCATTGCGGATACACTGCAGCGCTAGCAAGCAAGTGTCTGCATGCGCTAGCATTGGCTGTGGCGCACTCGGGCGCTGCGAGGTGAGGGGCACTGCAGGGCACCGGGCCATAGCCGGGCTGCAGGTCGCGAGGCAGAGGAGGGCGGCGGGGGTCTTCGGAAGGCGGCGCAGAAGTGGGTTTACAGGGGGTGATGAGGTAGACGAGAGTGCGTACCTGGTGTATGTGGGAGGTCGGCATTGGTGTTGACGACATGTACATTGGTCTTCAAAGTCGAAGTGAGCCTGTAGCATGAACGTAGTTAGGATAGATAGGACAGGTAGAGTAGGCTGGGCGCTGGGCGCCAGACAGAGAGGAGCAACATTGAATACTGTGTTGGTGTGGCCTGAGGGCTTTGGCTCACGAGTTCATTGTATTGCTCTTATTTGGATGGAATCTTGGTGCATTTGAGCTCTCTCCTTGTTACATGACTATCTGGACTTCTGCATGATTTTGCAAGTTGGCTTTCTGTATATCGCTCTCGCTCATATTCCTTGCAATTTGGTGTCAGAGCTGTTTCAAGATCGCCTATCTGCCGCCGGCGACATTGTACTTGGTGCGCTGACGATGCTTCTGTCCAGTGAGGATGCATTGGCGCTGGCTTGACATTGTGACACCCGGGTAGAGGGGTGCGTCGCAGGAAGGCTGTGGTGACAAAGTGGGAGCTGCGGTGACAGCGGGATGTATGTATGATGATGAGAGCATGCTGATGTGGCATTTTGGTTGAGGTGGCACTGCATCGTGTTGTGGGTGGTACCGAAGCTACGACCGGTCATCGAAATGCACATTGGCTCAATTGGTCAGAAATCTGTAGTTCCAGGTACGTTGTTCCCTTACCTTATCTACAATCTCAATCTCTTCTTGAGTGTCCTCTTTTCGAGAGGAGTCGTGAGCCCTCTACCTCGAGAGACGACATTCTTCCCGGTGGCGCATCTGGCAAGAGAGGGTGGTGCCTTTGAAGGGCCCTGGTCGAAGCACGGGTCACGGTCACCATGCCAACCCATGGGAGTAGTACACACAGGCCATGCTGCTTTGTCCTTTAACGCTCTTTGCTGCGCTGATAGAGGGGTGTGTGGACTGACCAGTCCTATGCAGACGCTTACCAGACCGTCTATAAAGATTTATGGCGGGAATCTGAACTGTCCACTGGCTATGATCGTCGTCCTGTCTGCGACGTTAAATAATTCCTGAGGACCTTGGGGGCTGTCCTTAAAACTGCCTCTTGATCAGCCAGATCAATCAGACGTAAGGCTCGTTGCGCGCGAGGATAAAGAAGGGGCAGTACTGGTCATAAGCATATACCTGGGCACAGGGTGGCACACCTTAAACACGGCTGCTTGATGATGCGGACAGGCAAACATACCCATTGTGCATACATCTGCTCACATGATTTACTTTTATTTTTGATTAGTTGGTGACAGAAATCAGACTGCACTCCAAGCTTTGCTTTCAACATTCATACACGTGAACTGATGGCAAAACCAACTCTTCAACTCAGAATCAACAACGAACTTGCACTTAAACTCTGTTCAAGTCAACTGTACAACTTGTGATATGGCCGCCGAACACTGTCTCCACCACGAGCCTCACTCTCCCTCATGCACGCATGTACAAGGATCTACCCCGAATGTCCGCACGACACATACACACACACTCTGTACACTGTCTGTCACTGCTGTTGGGCAGCTATGGCCGCCGTCTTCTTCCTCCTAGCTATGGTCGTCGCCGTCTTCCTCCTGGCCAGCTATGGCTGTTCTCTTCCTCACTGCCCACTTCGGCCCCGGGCACCTGCAC